ATAGCTCAAAAATGTGTACAATATTTAGTTAACTGTTGCTGTCATTGTTTTGAGTTTATTTCCAAATGAATACTGCATTTTAATGACATAAATTTACAATATTAGAGACAATTTTAGGAAAAAATGGCGGCCATTTTGAAACGGCTGGCAACCCCCCTTACGTATGAAAAAAAAATGTTGCACATACTTTTTTGATTAATCTATATCTACTCTACATCATATCCAATTTTTTAAAAATATAGCCAAAAAAATGCAACCAACCAAAGTTTGCTGGACTAATATGAACATGTTTTTTCTCCGAAGCCTGGCTTTAAATTATTATTAGTGACTTGCATTAAAAGAACAGTCGGCTGATCGGTGTTGTTTCTTGTGCTGAAGACCCCGGTTCAATCCTGGCTAGCTTTGGGATTTTTTTTTTTTTTTTTGGTTTTTTTTGTCTTTCTAAAAATTAATGAAAAGAAATATTTTATTTACTTTTTTTAATGCACAATAGACTAATGCAATACCAAAACTTACAGGTGTCACTGGTTATACTGACCACGTTTGATTGAAATCAGCCCAAAAGTTTGTCAGTAGTAGCATTTTAAAATGTTGCCAGGAAAAGATATAAATGAACCCTTAATGACATTTGACCCCAAATCCATGAACACCATATATAGACTCAGCCTTATGCCAATGCATATGTGCGAAGGACAAGATTGCTATGTTTATTTGTGACTGCAGTACTAGTCTTTTATACAACTTTTGAGTTTGTTTTTTGTTTTTTGTTTTTTTTTTTTTTTTTGTTTACTCTAATGACCCCTGTGTGACATTTTGACTCAAAGCGGTAAACACCCCTTGTATGGGAGGTGTCACTGATTCCGAATTACTTGCACATTTTTTTTTGCAAGTATTTGGGAACGCACTGAATATTTGCTACAATAACATAACAAGTACCGTAGTCAAACTATCACTCCTATGATATTTTCCTAACGCAAACTCATCGAAATAGCATTTGCAGTATCTGGTGCTACTTTTGGGGATGGGATTCAACACTAGTCTCTAAGCGCAAGCATAGTCTAGGTTACTGCGATAGGTTAGTTATCAGGAGGTAGTGGGTTCGATTCCCAACCGAATCAGTTGCGAATTTATTTTGAAACGTACAGAGGAAGCCTATTCGGTACAATAACACATCAGATAGGGTAAAGTATCACTCTTATGATATTGTTTCTGATGCAAATTCATTTGAAATATTATTATTGTGTCTATTATTATTATGTCTATTATTATTATGTTTATTATTGTTATCATTATTATTATTGTTATCATTATTATTATGTTTATTATTATTATTTTTATTATTATTATTATTATTATTAATATTATTATTATTTTGTCTATTAATATCATTATTATGTCAGGCTAGAATTCAGATTCATAAGAACAAATCTTTTCCTCCTCAGATCATGGAGTTATTAATGAGATTTAATTTCCGAATATATATATTTTTTTTAATGTTTCACGATGTTCTGCAATTGCAGACGTCCTAGCGAAATGAGCACACTGAAGAATTCGTTGGAATCGAATCAGATTAGTTCATTACTATACTAGGCCCTATATCTAAACTGACACATATATATTGCATACCAAAATCACCATCATATTATTCATATTTATTTCAAATCGCCACTATCACAATCATCCACATCATTAATTATCATCAATACAAATGTAGTTTCAAACACAGAATTTGGATCATACCCTAAATGAATCTGCTGTTTGATAGTTAATATATTCTGTGTTCCAGTAAGGTCCTTGTAATCCCGATGAAATCCAAATGGGGTCACCGACACCGTGTGACTCGTTCTCTGTAATCACCTCAAGCTGACCGACATATGGTCCCATTATGATGTAAGAAAATTGTATGCAGTACCGGTAAGAGGATGACCACCATATGTATGACGGTGAGATTACCGGAGTTTTAAAGCGAGCGACCTGTCCAGGACGTTTGTTTCGTTCATTAATGTACATGTTATAATCTGAGGCAAATATAAAAAAAATTAATAGTGATAATAATTATGCATGATATAAATTAATAATTATTAGCAAAATTGATCATCAATCATAGTAAATGTAATAACAATAATAGGTCTAATATCAGTTATTGAGCAGTCACTCCATATATTGCATACCTTCGCCCCATGCCTGAATATCGAACAATACACAGGCCGTGTATTGTTTTCTATTATATTATAATAAATACACTTATATATAATTATATATATACTTATATTATAATTTTATATTATAATAAGTATATAAATAGATAAAACAATGGGCGATTACATTGATTTCTGCCCCGCGAATAGCCTGAATACAGAACAGTACGCAGCAGGCAGGCTAATTTCAGTGAACTTTGACATCTTTTCTTTCAAAAATCTAATCAACACTTTCTTTTAATAACATATACCATTCCAGTATTTTTTTCTCTTTTGTGGCAAAAACCAACACATCTATTTATCAATATCATTATAATAATTGAATTAATACATTTACAATTGATAGGCCTATAGGAATTAATTTTGTACATTGCTTTAAAATTGTGGGGTAGCCATTCATTATCCTCCTTTTTCGTGGTTTTCATATTTTACTTCTAGACTAAGCTGAAAAAACACTTTCTTTTATTTACATAGGCCTATCATATTTTTTAAAACTATGATACAGGGAACACAATCATAATGTTACAGAATACTTGATACTACAAACTTCTTTTTGTAGAGTTTTTAACAAAAATAAAAGTAAAAAAGTTCTGTTTAGTATATTTTCTCTTTGCTACTCATATTACACCATCGTATTGGCAATATTTGATTTCAATTTTTTTTCATCATTTCTTAAGAAAATTTTTACTTTCCATTATTGCGGAATTGCCTTTAGCAAGACAGTTCCGCAATCCAATTTGATTCGATATTTAATGTTGTGAATAATTCAGCTGTATTAATAAACCTGTTATCAATCACTTTATCATTGATAGTTCGTATGCCCGATCAACCCAATTTCTATATAAAAATTAAACACCATTATATATTATCATTTTGTTACCCCAAATTTGTCGTTTCAATATTTCATTATAACCAATTTGGGTGCTTAACAACACACTGGTTAAAAAATCAGATAATGCGTTTACCATTGAACGATATAAACCAGGACTTCCTTTGAGGGGTATCGTTTTATAGCGTTAGCCGTTATATCGGACATTTTCGATAATGCCTTTTGGGGCAAATCTTCAAATATAAATAGTCTGAGAGCTAGCAACATAAGATTCTCGCCCTACACAGTTTCAGAATAATTGAATAAGCAAATAGCACATATATTGCATTTTGAAATTTAAAAAAAATAGTGGTAAAACGGGGCGGGAGCCTAATTCCCAGTGACATCCCTCTCCCCTACTGGATCTTCCCCTGTTGATTTAGGCAATCCTCTTGTAAGTGAAAAGTACAGAAATATACAGTGGGCCTAGCCTGGTTAGGAATGAGAGAAGTGCCTGTCTTGAATCAAGGTGGATGCATGTAAGGCTTATCCGAACTACTGACATTCAAAAGAACCCGTAAACATTGTCCCGACTTGTTTACGTAAATTCAAGGTACTGATTGGTGGAGCTGGCTTGACCCTACCTCTACCTTATAATAGCACTATTTTTACGACGAGGCGTGAAGATAGCCCCCAATGCTATTCTTACGATGATCGCTAGCGCACTTGCGATAGCGTAGGCCTAATTCATCGCGGGGAAAAGTCTTGAACTGAGCGAACCACAACGCTAATTCTAGCCGGATTAGGGTAGTTGTGGCCGCGAGGGAAAGCGGCCGCGAATCGATACGTGTATTTTTATTCATAAAAATCTGAACTTTAACTGATAGCATATAATAAACATCAATTTAATCATATCATAATTTAGTTATGTCATTGTTGAATATCGGTTGGTTGGTGGTGACTTTAATGAGTAGTATGACACAGTTCCTTTTAGTTCACTGCAAACTTTTATTAACACAAACTGTACGTTGGTTACAATCAGCTAAACTCCAGGTTTCAGATGTTAGAGAACCCTTTTAGAGTGGAGTCAGCTCGGCCCTGTACTTTTCTTCTGTGTTGAATCTAACTACTGACTACTGAATACTACTCACTACTGATTACTGACCATTGCTGATTACTGGTTACTGATTAATGGTCACTGACTCAGTGATATGGGGGTGTTTGCCTATTATACTTTATGTAATGGGGGTGTGTCTCAAGTAAGTCACCCCATACCATAGGCGTAGATCCCGGGGGGATGGAGGGGATATATCCCCCCCCAATATTTGACAAGGGGGGATGGTCCATTGTATCATCCCCCCCAATATTTTGACTATGTATAGGATAAAATGGAGTTTTACACACTTCAAAAGACTGTCACAGAAATAATTTGCACTGTCTTTATGCGCTTACAAAGATGAAAATTAGCATAATGTATTAATGTTGATAACAAAATTACTTTATCTGGTACCAATCTAAGCTCTTCTTTCCTTAGATGTTAGATGTGCTTGCAAAGACAGCCACATTTCACACTGAAGGGTGTGTATGACATCAGTAATGTTATGCCAATTCCAAGAATGTTTAAGGTTATATCGGTTGATGAGGAATTTATTGATTAGGCCTATAATA